TGTTCGCGTTGTCTTGGTCAATTTGGCATTAGGCAAAGTAGATGGAACGCGGGGTCATCGGAGGTTCTCACAGGTTATTGGGGGAAGAGAGTGTGAAGCGAGAATTTCCCCTCGAGTTGAGTGTGTTTGGTGACCTTTGGTGTGCCGTATGATGTGAGAAATACAAGACCGTGGCTGCGCCTGAAGAATTTACGGCTGCCAATAATGATGGAGAATCTCTAACGGGCCGCGCTTTTGTGGAATTGTGTCTGGATGGTTCTAAGGTCACAATTCAAGTATAATATATAGAAGACGACAGAGGAATGCTGATTGTGTGGTAAAGAGGTATAGAAAAAAAGTGATCCATGCGAAGGAGAGAAATGATGAAATTTCAATATTTGGGATTGCCTTCGAGAATTTGTGGCGGTCCTGCAGTGGATAAGAGTTCACGATGAGATCAAGAGCGCGAGTAGAGGTATCTTGACCCGTGAAGTCATTCGGGACAAATATAGAAACTGTGGCAAGTCATAAGGTGATATCTGAGGTCTACCCAGCCATGCAATGCTCACCAGTTCTCGTCACATCAGAGTGAAAACTATTTCAGATAACAGATGAGAGATACAGAAAATAATGCTGAATGATCTATCTTATATCTTGGCTAAAGAGCACGAATTCTTTCAACTCATCGGTTAACTCGCGTGGCCAGTTCTTGGCATAGTTACAGAAATGGAGCACGCCTAATTCTAGTGTAAATGCTCCACCAGTGTGCAATATATCTTTCAATTTTCCCGCACAGACATTCAATGGGGGGTTTTTTTTAATGGGGGTCAAGTTTCATAGGAGAAATCCTCTCACCCTTCATTGTGCTGCATCTAAGAGCGGAATTGAGCAATTTCCCTAATTGATCCCTGCATCGTCAAGTCTTAATGAAAGGGATTCTCAAAATACAATCACTTAATTACTCTGGATGGGGCGCAATTCAATCCGATAGTTTCATATTCTATCATTATATTAATTCATAATGAATGCATCAAGTTGCATACAGTGCAGATTTGGCACAGGAATGCACTGAAAAAGCAATTAGAGATGTTTTGAGGAAAATAACTTGCGCGGATCATATTACAGAAAATAAGGAGATACAAATGAGAAATCTTTGCATTTTAATTACCACCGACGGACAATTCTTACTTGTTGGTTCAAATTAGTGGAAAATTAATTCATTTGCGTGTGAAATAAATCACTCCTGAACATCTCAAGAGAGTTGAAATTGCTGAGTGCGTGAGTCATGCCGCTTTGGCCGGAACAGAAGATGCTCAAAATATTTGCCAACCATCGTTTGCCACCACCAGCGAAGGGAGTACAAATGGCAGAACTGCATGTGTTTACCTCCTTAAATTTGTCTCAAGAACAAGCAGAAGCATTTAGAGACACAAACCATTGAAAGGTGTGGCCTCGGTAGCCATCAGGCTCTTGTGTGCATTTGAAAAGTGAACCTTCGGCATACGTATCAACCCTCGAGATCGCTCCAAGTCAGAAAAATTCAGTCGAATGAATAATGTTCCGATTCTACTTTACATTAGAAAACGCCGAGAATTACCCGTATTTAGCATCTCTTACATTCACCTTCCGCCACACACGAACTGGACAAACACCTTTGGAGTCAAACCTACACCTTTTCTCGCGTTGAGAGCTTGCCTTGGCGCGTTAAGAAATTGAAATGAGTATCGTCAGTGTAATTGGTGATGTTCTCTCACCTATAACATTATCTGCAATATTACTGCAATATTGAGGGAAATTGTGTCAGAATAATGGCGAAAGTGGTACAGAAATTTCTAACATTTAACTTGAATAACGAATTAGCGGGTCTCCTGAAAAGCTGCTACAAAAAAAACATTATACAAGAATGTTTTTGCCATATATTTTTTATGCATATTCGAAATTCAAAGGAAATTCACCGCAGAATGAAGAAGAGAAAGGTGAAAAAATTCTGAAGGAGCAAAGCACAGCATTCTAATAAAATAAACACACTTCTTGCTCCTGTGATGGTGAATTTTTTCACTCATTTTCTTTCAATTAGCTCCCCTTTTGGCGCGGTAAATTGCTGAAAATTGACTTCAAAGGTAAAGTCAAGTAACTCAATTAATTTTCCAGCAAAATGAAGTGTCTCTCTCTCTTCAGTAAAAAGGCATCTCGCGCGCATGGAACAGAAAACACTTCAGCAATCTTCATAATTCACTGTGATTTGCCATGGCACTCAAATCAAAAATGCACACACAGGCATTTCCAAGTTCATTGAAGCATCATAAAGAGCAAATACGCATCGTTATTTCTCCCCCCATATATACCATGGCCATTGAAGGTGCCAGAGCACCTTCTCACATGGCAAATAGAATATTTTCTTCTTCATGACTTTTGCAACTTCCATCCGCATTGTTAATGGAACGCGTCTGCGTGAATAAATCATTAGGACGCCCTTATAGTCGCAATTACCTCTAATCTTGCGCTTCTCACCAACCGCCGAGAAGGTGCTCAAGACAATCACCTGGGATGAGCAATTCAATTACCCATCACTTACACTGACTTTTCTGCTGTTGATTGCCGAAAAAGAGGCAGCAATTATTAGCAAATATTTGCATAAATTAGCGAGTAGATAAACACAGAGACAAATCATCGGTGGACTCTCAATATTCAGGGGAAAAAAGCCGCGATGCAATTAGTAAGCGAAATTGCGTTGACTCAGCCTCAATCGCTGAAATTACCACAAAGAACTGAAAGATCTCCAAGGCAAAATCGTTCAGACGAAAGTGTACATATTCAGTTTGCACAGACAGTATAAAGTCAGGTAAATGAGCAGCAATGAGCATTTCGTACACTGCTTATAGGGAATTTTTCCCACCTCTCGAGATCGTGTTCGTCATTCCCATATGCACACACACTTCTTTCGCTTAGTGTCGTCGCTGAGGAGTTCTTCGCTGCACTTCAGCCTCCGCACAGATGGACTTGCGATGCGATGTTCGTACTCATCGTCATTTTACCATACAATTCCATATATACACACAATCAGATGCACACGTATCTCCATGGCGGATCATCTTCATTGTTGGCAAGTTATTTCGCCGTTTAGCAGGTCTTGTACCGTTAAGTTGAGCGTGGATTGTACTTGAAGGAGAAAAGGTATTCCTCCTCGTGTATAAATTCACCTTCCATTGGCCGCTAATATGACGATGAGACGTCGTTTCGCTATATATTGCACAGCATCCCACAATCGAATCTCCACATGTTCTGCGCAATTCTTATGCAGATTCAATTCTTCTCTTATTGGCGATTCTAATCGATTTGAATGGAGTAAGAGAGAGAGAGAGGCACTTTAATTAGATACATCACTGTGTGGGAATTGTGGCACAAGAGAGCCATGCAGCCAAGAGGTCTTCAGATGGCACGCATGCAAGACATAGCGGAAAAAAACGCATCCATGTTGTCATCTTTGATTGCACTTTCGCATATACAGAATCCCGCCATGGAAGATAAATCATGTGAGAACCGTGAAACTGGCTTACTCTTCACTGGGGATTCTATGGATTATTCCGTGTACATCGTCAATTTGCAAAATGAAAGAGAAGAAGTGCGCAATAGTGAGCCATGCAACTTTTCAATAGTTTTCCGAACATTTAATAACAACCCATATTACAAAGCAGAGCACAGGGGATAAAAGAACGTTCACATTAATTACAAAGGACTGTTTAAAGTCCGTTCAGATCAAACACATCAGAGTACTTATGATACGATTGAGCTGTGTATAGTTGAGCTGCTTTGAATACCTGGAAGCCTCACTGATGGGGATTGGGTGAATTCAAAGGGGGACGATTAATAAACAACCACAACTCACCCTCAGATTGAGGCGCCTTCAAGGCATTCCTCTGAGGAAATTGTAGCTGTCGGAAGTGATTAGTGAACCATAGGAAGAAAGTCTCCTCGGTAATCTGTGACTGGAAAATATATTTCAAAGGGGAAAGCCGATGAACGCTTCCGACATTTCTTCGCAATGTTTGTCCAACTAATAGGACTCAGTTAGTTGGCAAATTTATGTACACCATTAATAAAATGCGAGAGAAGAATTAGGAACTGAATTAAAATATAGACAATTAGCTTCTTAATTCTATTCGTACTAATTTTTATACTTGTTTGTATATTTAAAACCACGTTTTTCTCTTAAGTGTTCACTCTATGCATATGAATATTTTGCTTTAGGTTTTAAAGATGTGCTATTCAGAGTGACGTAATGTCATATAATGGCATTTATGCTCTCAAATTGGTCGCAAAAACCAGCAAAACTTTGAGAGATCAATTTAGATTATTCACCGATGGTGGAGAATCACACAAAAACCCTTATAAACTTCAAAGTCTAGTCATGGAGTGTATGATAACATATATATATATTTCGAAAGTTTCAGCGAAGAACAATTGCAAAGTCCTTAAGTTTCCTTCAAAGTCGGAATTGAACACATTTCTCGGTAGAGCGTCTTGAGATGCTGAGTATAATCCCATTGGGAGTCCGAAATCATCACCTCTCTTAAGCCCTGAGTGTGCATTCCAATGACTTTGCCTTTGCTAATCCTGTCTCGGAAATTCAATTTAACTTTTAAATGCACACCAACAGAACCGACACTGCTGCGACTTGATGCTGTCGACGGTTGGCAATGCAATGGTCAGACGACTTCCAGAAACGGGGATGGAAGTTGGCTCTTCCCCAGTCCGGCCTTCCAGTCTTCCAGAGTGGCCCGGGAAGGAAGGGGAAGCGTGTGTACTGGAAAGTGGCGGGCAGCTGTTTCGAGTCCATGAATGAGATGGGGAAGCGGCCGCACACTCGGCGCGCAATCGGGTGCTTCGGGTGGTTCATCGCGCAACTGGAAGGCGCCGTGAGTGGGAATTGGAATATGCCTTCGTACGGCAGAGCTGGTGGTTAGTTGCCGACCTCGTCGTCATATGAATGCCAACCGAGCGACTAGTAACGTCGTGACTTTCAAGCGTGGTGGATGTCGTTGGTCGTTGCGCTGAGCAAAATGTTTATCCCTTCGAGAATTGAGCATTTTCTCACGATCACATCCAGAATCGCATTTATCACACAATTCCTACAGTGCTGAACCGGCTGAGAGGACTCACAATACGTGCTCTCAAGGTACACACAAATAGACTTTTTCCGCAAGGAGTTTCAAGTGTTTTCCATTCTTGAGAGGGAAAAAAAAACAAAAAACGTTCCGCCAAATCTATAAACAGTGTTTGTGTGGCTCCTTTCCGGGACAGAGATTTTCCATCACGTACGCAAGAATTCAATTTCTCTGCAAATTTTCCTTCGCGAAGGTGCCGGAGTCATTGATCCGGGATACGTGAGTGAGTACGTGCTGTCGTTTTGGGTGAATGTGTGCCACAGTGAGATAAGAATCGAGAGACGAGGAATCCTCCAAAGGAAAATCGATAAGGGTGTGCATTGAATTCGGCGGAAGAATAAGAGGGTCATCGCGTTTCTTCTCTGCCGGTGTGATCTCTTCTTGGACTATCGCGCGCGCATTCTTCGGCTAATGAGGAGTCATTAATTTTTGCCTCCCAGAGGAAGAGAACTAAAAAGTCGATAAACAAATTGATAGGATATACATATAAGAATTGCGTGAAGAAGTGGTGACAAAGAGGACAATCGCGTATAAGGAGAATAAATCCCACGTGAAGATCATTAGCCGGGCAGAGTTGTTGACAGTCAAGTTTAAGGACTGCCAAGAGTGTGCTTAAACACAGTGTTGTGGCATGAGTTGCATTTGGCGGCGAAGGAAGTGGCAGAGTGCAGTGTTTTAATTGCTAATTTCTCTATCAATTTGCCCCACAACGAGGCGAGCACATTATAAGCTAAAGTGGTTATTTAGAAAGAATACGCATCCAAAGTCACTTCATCTTGCAATTCACCAACTTGTCGAGTGAATGTTCTGGCAAGTTCCACTTGACTCATTTAACTCATGTGAGTATCAATTAATATCACTGTTAACAATCCCATGTGTTTGTGTAAGAAGATGTGCCATTAGGCCGGGCAATAGCATGTGAATACAACAGAAATTCCCCCGAGTGTTATCCTCCGGATTCGCCGTTTGAGAGAAATTTTATCCAAACAATACCCGGCACAGTGTATTTCTATTTCATTCCAAAATATTATTGAATTACTCGCCTATTTTGGGTCTCTGGCCAAAACTCTTACCCTCATTCGGCATTCCTATACACATCTCAGAGAGCCTTTGGCAATTGCCGCACTTTCGTGTACGTGAGCACAGGAAGTTTCCCAATTTGACCCGGCGAAAAATGAAATGAGTCCTACCATCAGGCTCCTCTGACCTCGTAAAATTAGCACTTGCGATTTAACGTCTTCTTCGCCGCGTTAAAGATTGTCAATTTCAACATTTATGGCACACTTCTCAAGGAGTGCCTGAGATTAAGTAGATACTTTGGGATGGTGTGTGCATTTCCTGCCGCAGAAGTGACCGTTAAACAGTGTATTTATGAGGTTTGATAATTACAAGTGTTGAAAATTAACACCGCAAAGAGAAAAGACAATTTCCATCAGCACTTCCACGAATGAACTTCCACATTTCAAGCTAGTGCGTATAGAGTATTCTAAATGTAATTTAATGATTTTGAGTTCTGAATCAATAATCAATTCTCTTCCATAAAGCTCCATAGACATTCTTGGTGAATTTCCATGTTAATGGGCTCATGTATTAATTTATACTGTACACATTATTCAATGCATTTTATTATATACATTCAAAATTCTTGTAGCTTCACAAAGCAAGTATCAAATTCCCTTGTAATCTGATACAAATGCTTAAGGGTTAGGAGTTAATATATGCTAAGTACAGGGGGAATGGCCTGAGCATAGCCATTGCTGTGTGTGCAATAATACAAATTTAATTAATGAAATTACAGTATTTGAGTGCAATCTGCGCACAATTCAAATTTCAATCAATTCAGCCAATTTTCTATCACAATTAATTGATTTTAGGCCTTTCAAGCCACTCAACGAGATGAAATGGCAAAATCAGTGATTTTTCCGTCGCTCTCAGCATCACAAAAATTTGAGTAACTGAATCCAACGGCAAGCTTCAAATTGCCTCTCTAATGGTATTGATTTTGTATATACACAGGGTAATTTTGTAATTGCCCTATAATAGCTCACATTCGGCTTTGTATTTAATTACGGAATGAATTTTAAGCACTTCTCTGCGTTGTGTGATACTTTGTAAGGTGTCAATTAGCATATGTTGATAACGCTGGCGGAGCACGATATCCAGAGAGATTGATTTCGGATTGTGATATGCGATGGCGGGAAAGAACAAGCAAAAGAGATACACACACTCCATGGATTAGTTATTCTGGGCACAGTTGTTAAAAGGCGGCAATTGAATTTCATTTTGACATGCCGCCCAAAACGACAAAACGTCTAATGTTTCTTGTTTAGATAACTTTTGAACAAGTGAGTCAATTCCGAGGTTTCAAACTTCCCATTGCATTTTGAGTGGCAACTTTGGAGAGATGTTTGGATCATCAAACTGCCGGATTAACATTTCCCTCCCGTTTGTTAGATCTTTGTTTACACATCTCTGTGATACAAGAGACACCATCCAACAGTTGGGAGACGAAAAGACAGGGCAAAGAAGTTAATGAGAAACATTTGCAATGAGAGGAACTGGGCGCTGAGGAATCTCACCACCTAGTGAGACGTCTCAAAGTGTTGCTCTCTCACGATTTATTGTCATTTTGGACGTTATACAGAAAAAAGAGAGATTTTTATACCCCTCTTCTCATGATAATTGGAGTGTCTGAATAAACAAGAAGATTTTGGGATTGTTTTGTTAGGAGCGACGCTCTTGGGGTGCTAGTCACAGGATTTTCTTTCACACTCTCTTTGCTTTTCACATGAGAAAAAAAGCATGCCTTAAAAAATTGCGTTCAACAACTAACTATTGAGACTTGGCGGAATATAACACAGTCGATGAGTATGATGTTAGGCATTTAATGTAAAAAGCATTACAATGTTGAGTATTTATGTTACGGATAAGTGCATTATGTTATATATCAACGACCAAGTGTAATTGCTGTTGGGCTTTTCAATAAGAGTTTACTTTTCTTGCATCCTATGCGTAAGACGGGTGAATTAATATTGCCATTTTTAAATTTATAAACTTTTCTCATGCGTCTGCTGACAAATTCACGTAAAGTATTTATTGGCAGGGCGGAAAGGGTTGAAGTATTTAACCCGTGAAGTCATCCATCAATGTGGCAAGAGAAGAGGGGGTGATATTGGAAATTTTAATGTTTATGACCCTAAATTGGCCTCCTTTCCAAGCCAAATGGCGACTCATATGCGGCTAATGATATTCCAATGGCAATGATATATGCATACAGAATTTTCGGGAAGTGCTCTAACATTGTACAAGTTCACACAGTGCGCGCTACTCTAATTGAAAACCATCCGTGTCTGTCCGTGAATCGTAAAAGACTCCAGAGGAAGATGAAAATCATTTCCTGACATCACACTTTGCGAGCGCACAAGACTCCTCTTCATGTGGAGGATTTCCATGAGATGCTGCGCTCTCTTTCCAAAGAGTATTATGAGATGCAACATCTTTTGCCAGAGTACCAAGTGACAGATGTTCATGTCCCAGACAATTTCCCCATTTGAAATGCTACATTTACATCTCTCGCACGAAACATTGGAACTTGTCTCTATTCGATCTTGTCTATGCGACAATAAATGCCGAAGATCGTATGTTATATATGCACTTTTTAGTGCACCTCTGCTTGTCATCATCATCATCGTCTCTCCCCTCTATGCCTTGTGGTATTTCATTCCTCAACACTTTGTTGCATCGACTGATACACTGATGGCTCTTCATCCCCCTGAGTTGTGTGTTCCACCTTTGGTTGCAGAGAGACAAGAAAGAATGCATCTTCGTCATTTTAAATTCTCCTCCATACGGAATAATTCAGTGGTACATCTCTCATGGCGAACGCAAAATCCTCCTCTTGTGAATTCTACATGTGGTGAATATTTAAATATGGTGACACAACATTTCTCGTTAGAACAGTACACATGTCTCTCCATTGGAAATTAAAATGTGTTTTTGACTTTTAGAAATAAATATGTATGTATCTACATCATACAGAGATTTTTATGTATATACAAAATTTGCATGAGATGATTTAGATTATTACATGTTGTCTGGATATACTTTGTGAAGAAAAGTTTGGATTACGCAGGTTAAAAATGATGGCTTTACAGCCTACAATTCTCTAGGAAAATATTTAGAAGATTAAGAAGTTGAGGAGTATGTGAAAATGTTGAATGAACTTTCTGAATAATATCCTGGTCGAAAGACGTTTTATTGTATACAACACTTTTAAACTTTTTCCTCAAAAAATAAAGAAAAAAACCCCACAAAACTCAAATCATTTGAGAAATTTTTTATTATTCTTTTGAATTTCCGTACATTTAATAGTTTGGATGTTAAGTCTATATTATTTTAACAGTGTTTTTCCTATGGAGTAAAAATTATCAAATTTGATTACGGTTCTCTGAAGACAAATGTTAATCCGTTCTCCCATGACAAATCAGCTAAACTCTAAAGCCGAGGTAAAATATCTTATAATATTGAACGTGTTTAGATTGAATTTTGACTATTAGCATCACCATCATTTCTCATTGCAATTAAGCGAATTAATCTTCAATTTCTCAGGCATAACACTCCAATTTCTGAGAATGGAACTTTCTGACTCGCGGTCGCGTCGGCATCGAAATTAGTTTCGGTTAAGTGATGGTCTGAGTTGTCAAAATCGAGAAGTTAATCTGATGCCCTCTCTCTCTCTCTCTGTCCCTTCAAAATAATCTTGACACAAATCCCATCGTACATGGTCCAATTTAATAATTTAATACGATGAATTATAATTTGTTTTGAGGCGCGCACGGACGCTGGGAAGGTGTTGGAGCTGATAAAAAACAATTTTGGCCGCGAGGTCGTTTTAATGCGCACACCAGAGATTTTCTCATTAGATATGCGGTCCAGGGGCAGGAGAGATGGGGATTTTGTCACTCCTGGGAAAGAGACGCGCGGCGGATAATTCAGGAATTCCTGAGACGATCTGGAGTAATTTTGTTGGTGTCAATCAAGATTTTTGCGCGTGCGGAAATCAATTACGCCATACCTTTTTCTTCTATGTGGGGTCAAAAGCCCATCTAAATATTGACACTTTTGAGGGTGGGGGCAGAAGCTCTCTATCAATTGGCAATTCGGGGGAGCTGCGAGAGATTGTGGGATAGTTGATGTAATTTCCGGCTTTCGCCTTTGACTGTGAGGCAACACAAGTGCCGCCGGCCTGAGAGATTTAATAAAGCCAAAAGTTCATCAATTGAGTTTCTGCATCTCTGACCCACCGCGTCCGCATTGGGGAGGGAAGAGATGCGGTGAAAGGCCAATGAACAGTACACTGAGAGTAAATAGAGATTAAAAATATGTCGTTTTTGTAATACAACAAGTTTAATTGAAGCATCGATTGAGCTTCTTTGGATAATAATTTGATAAAGGTGAATTTTTATTGACGAATGCATTTTTTTTGTTGTTGTTTTACTATGCGTGTTCTTTCACGTTTCTCAATGTGTAGAAAATCCCAGAGTCTCCGCATGTGTAGTCTCTTTTCACCCAGAGTATATCAATAAGTTATGGATTGCGCCTCACCCTCACGAGAAAGACCCTTCAGACGGCTTTGGGGATGCTATTGAAATGTGTTTTAATTAAAATTTCCATATTCACACCCCTGTGGCCCTTTTCGGTGTCCACAACCGACAGAGTTCCTCTACCTGTTCATGTTACGGTGGTTGCCAGTCGAATAGTTTGGGGATGCTAAACTAATCAACCGTAGAATTCAATTATATATCCGACAAAACTCTTCCATTCACACAGGGCAAGTGAA